AATCAATCTAAATACATATATCAATTTATATATATATAAGTCGATTTAAATATATATATCAATCTATATATATATATATATCAATTTAAATATATGTATGTATCAATTTAAATATATATATGGTTTTTGATATCGTATTGCCATACCTTGTGGCCGAGCAGCGTATGTGCAATGCGACCCGTGCCCACGCGCCATACTTGACAGATGCGGTCGCACCCTGTGCCTACACCAAAAAATATATTAAAATAGAATAACAATGATAATAAAAATAAAAAAGTCATATCAGCAAAATATTATTCTTCCTCTTGTCATAGATTGCAAAAATGAAGTGTAAACTGAAACATCAGAGCATTATATACCTAGCACGAGCTCGCCGTCCTCGGACACGCGGACGCAAATGAGCGGCTGGGACATGCCGAGGCCGCGGTAATCTGCTTTGGCCTGGCACGTGAACGAGTCCCACGCGCGCACGGTGCCGTCGCTGCTGGCTGTGAACGCCACCTTGCCACTGCCGCTAAAGCACACCGAGTTGACTTCGGTAGCGTGGGCTCGGATGCACTTGCCGTGTTGGAGCATGGTCACGTCGGCGGCGGAAGAGGATGACACGAGCGACGTTGGGGGATGGCGCGTATTCGTGGTGTTGTTGGACGTGTTGTCCAGCTGATGGAAAAGATGACGGGTCAGGACGAAGGGGATGGACGGCGAGGATGGATAGACGGACCGAAGGATGGTTGGACGGGTCCAGCATGAGTTCCTGCATCATCATCTTGCTCTTTTCAATGAGTTGATGCTCGAGATCGCGCACACGCCGACGAAAGTCTTCTGCTTCCTGCTCGGCAAGTTCTGCCCGAAGGCGCTGCCGATTCAATTCTTCCCTGCGTCGAACGACGATGGGTCGTCAATCGACGGCATGCGAGGGGGGTGTGATTGATATAGGCCACATACCGTAAGCCGTGCATCTCCTTCTCCATACCCTTCCCCACTCCTTCCATGTCGTAAATGCGCTTCTGTAGTTGCATGAGCTGTTCGTCCTTCATTTGGATCGTCTTGTCGGTGGTGCCCATAATGTCGGCGGTGTGCATCCGTTGGTTTTGCGTGGACAGGTAATGCAGTTGAGACATGATCTGCTGGTACGACCCTATCAACGCACTGAATCCATCCGTCTCGCGTCGATTCCGCTGCGCCACGCGCTCCGCCATCACCGCCAACGCCGTGCGATCTCGTTTCTCCATCAAGACTGCAGTTCTTCAGTTCTTCAAGTTCGAACGAGAAAGGGGTAGCCATACTACCGGTCAAAATAGTCTCTTATATTTTGACAAGAGTATATTTCAAGCAATAATATAGATTTATATGGGTAATTAAGTTCCACAATACCCTGATCACGTTCAAGAAACGTATAAAGTGTTGAGGGTAAACATCACTGCCAATAATTACGTTATTTGTTCGAGTCAAAACCTCTGTCATATAATGCTGATCATTCCGTCACATGAATGGAATGCAAAAGCCATCGGTAACAGTCATTCAAGATTGGGTTTGAAGTACATACGTACCCTAGTTGACACAGGCCACATTGGGTTGGATCTGAGGTTTTGTCGAGTGTTAAACTCAGTGAACATCCTTCCGCAACTGGTTATCAAAATGTGAGTACAAATGCTTATGTGGCTTTGAAAGTAGCTGTCTCAAATATAATATCCAAGTTAACCAACTTTGTTAACCATATTTCCTTCCAAATATAACGTCACATAAAATCGTTTTGATGTCTTGTTTTTTAAAATTCTACTCTCGCCGTGATAAAATAATGATATGGTTTCTTGTTTCTAAGAAGTGTAGCAAGGTTGACGACCAAATTGCCTGCGAAGATGCGACGACGAAGGTTTCTGTCAACCAGGTGAAGTATGAACTAATCTGATCGTGTAGCGATTATAGGCATCAGCTTCATGGAGTTCGTTCTAATATGACCATTTTCCTCACCCTCCTATATTCCATGAGAATAGGGAGATTTCGCAACTCGTGTATTTCCCGTTTCCGTTGCCGTAAATCAATGAACGGGAACATCGACGATAATTGTGACGTTTCGCAAAACATGTTTTTCCTGTACTGTCCGTTTGGGCAATGCAAACTTTGTGACTCCCATAACTTTTGCCCCAGGAGGTGTTTTCTGAAACTGAATATATATTTGAATTGAGGAGTTTAACCTAAAGTCCGTGAGGGGTTTCATTTTGCCTGAAAAAGAACGCTACTCCGTTTTTGACTCCCATAACTTTTGCCCCAGGAGGTGTTTTCTGAAACTGAATATATATTTGAATTGAGGAGTTTAACCTAAAGTCCGTGAGGGGTTTTATTTTGCCTGAAAAAGAACGCTATTCACAGTCAATGCGCTTCTGGCACGATCAACGCAGCGACCAAAAAATCCAGCGGCGCCGACAAGAAGGACAAAGTCGAAGAAGGCGGACTTATTGTCCGCGAAATGGACATGCAGACGCTCAAGCGGCACGTGGAAAGAACCACGAACTGCGAGAAGCAAAAAGAGAAGGTGGTCGTGGAAGATCGTCGAAGCAGCTTGGCTGCAGCTATTGAGGTGGACAGTGAGCGTGAGCAAGCAGCTCGCGAAAGGAACTCGAATTCAAGAGTTTTAAATACGAGAACGACTTAAAGCAACATGAATATGATTGTGACGAACGTAAAGCGGAGCGCGATCATCGACTGGCGCTGGCGCGCATCGAAAGATTACGAATTTGTTGCGAGCCGTCCTTGAAGGAACACAGTAGGTAAAATAATTTACTTAATAAACATTGTGCTGGGTGCATTTAACAATTGGGTCGTGTATCAGGTAGAATTTGGATTTTATGTTGCATTTGATTCGTTGCATGTATTCTACATTTAAGTACTGTTTCAAACTAGGTGGAGCGACATCAAAGAAGCTGGATATTTGATTGCCTCCGTTGTAGCAGCAGTTGCAGTTTGTCAGAAACATAGCCACATTTGCGATAGCGCCCATGTTTGACAGCATGATTTTTTGTTGCATTTTGAAAGTAATGAATCCCCAGAGCGTCTTCAACCGGCCAAAATTTCACTCGACACCTTTGCGAACGCGACTCATCGATGAGTTGAACAAATCCTTGTGTTCGTCCAGATTCGCCCCTTTGTAGCCAGAAATGATCCATTTGGAGATCGGGTAGGCAGGGTCACCGTAAATGAAATACCCCCGAAAGATTTCTTCGTTTGCCTCGAAGTACTGGAGCAATTTGCTCACGCGCAGCAGAGTGACGTCGTGACAGCTACCCTCCAGTAGGCCAAAGAAATGAATGCACAAGCCGTCGGGAGTTGTAAGACCTTAGTAGTTTAAACAATGCTTTCGTTTGTGGCTGGAGTAGATTCGTTTTTGCAAGTTAAGTCCAACTGCGCCACTGGCATTGGCGCTGATACGACAGGACTCGACTTTGGTGCCATCAGGGAACGGCCACACTGACTGCAAGGGCGCCCCTTTGTTGTGGATGGCGGCAGCATACTGAGCAATTCGGGCACGAACGATTTCTTTGTTGCAGTAAATGGTAGATTGCCACCGATGGTACCCGAGATTGACCATGTGGTTGAAGATTCGGCATAGTTACTCCCTGGAACGCCCAACGCCGGCACCATGTCGTAGTACGTGATGGGGTAGCGTAGCTGTCGTAGCAAAATGCACATCGCCTCCACGCCGGTCACACGGTCGCGTCTGTCGGTGATGACAACGTTTGGAACACCCACCAACGAAGTAAGTTGCAACACTCCCGGAACGTCAAAACGAAAAGACAAAAGGGTATCCGCGCAGCGCATATTTAAGTCAAACGTGACTTCAGGCATTAGTGGCCTTTCGAGTGGGACCCCAACACCGTATTCCAGCAGCAGCAGCAGGGTTGTTTTGGGATGCCGCTTCTTACGTTTGGCCCATCAGAAGCCATGAAAAGCCAGGATTTGTTCCTCCATGAATTGGATGCGTTTTTTTAATCTCTTCGTCTCCTACCTTAAATGCTGCATGTAGAATCTTGAAACAACAACAAGAAAACTGAGCTCTAGACGATTCGTGAACCCAGCATGGGATTCAACGTTTTATTACAGTATGTGATTGTCGCGGAACTGAGTTATTAAAATAGCTCAATAATTAAATGAATATGATATAGTACTACTACTAAACGTTAGTATTACTAGTAAAATTGTAACGTTACGATGAACAGAGAATTAAGAACGCGTTTGACGCAGTGGATGACTGCCAAATATCTCGCAAAACAAATTTTCTTCCGGTTGAATCTGAGACATTTTTGAAATAGAACCACGCTCGCATTTTGTGAAGACGAAAAAATCGTCTTCGCAAACATTGCATTTGCGAGCGAACCTCTCGCATCGACACTGTAAAATTTGATATGATCGAAATACATTTTCAAAGGCTTTGGCATCGTGCACAAATTTTCTCGCAATCTCACCGGGTAACGAAGGCAGGTCGAGCCAAGTCGTGGAGTGCCTCGATTGCCACCCATCGACGTCGGTTAAAAAAATACACGTTATCCGGACTCGCAAATTTGTTTGCGAGAGGCACTTGCGAGATATTTGGCAGTCACCCAGTGGCGCAATGGTTAATGCGACGGCAAAATCCAAGATGATTGAGGAAGGGAACTTTTTCCAATTTCGGAAAAAACAATTGCATACAAATTTTAGGTGATATTATTCCAGTAACGTTACGACATTAGCGCGACCAGATTGTCATTACCAAAACAAGGCATGCACGACATCCACCAGTTACCCGAGGGAAGAGCCCACAACGACACTCACTGATACGTCCATCTGTGCAGCTCGTGCTGCTATAGCGTCGACGTGGTACCAATGGCCTTGGCTACTCGGCGCCTTTACCCTATGCCCGCGTCCCTCCAACAGTCCGGCTTCCAAGGCCAGGGACGATTGCTCCATCGACAGCAATGACCTCAAGCACGTGAGTTACATCTTGAATGATCCGTGTGCGTGTAGGGCTGCCATGGTGCACCCCATTGTCACATCTTGAATGATCCGTGTGCTTGTAGAGCTGCCATGGTGCACCCCATTCGATGGATCCATCAAACGAAGGTAAGCGCTTTCCAATCGATTTGGAGTCGATGTACAAAACTTTCTAGGATCATCGCGTGAAAGCCCCAAAGTTGCAAACCGATGGAAGCAATCGTCAACGTCCTTGTTCAAGGAGCAGTCCCATGGCATCAGCTCCGGACTATTCCCCACCGGGCGACCAGCAAATTGCGTGCCTCCATGGAGCCCCAATTCTGGCAGTATCCAGCGCCCGAGGTATCCTTCATCCATTTGATCGTTGACTTGCAAGTCATTTGAGATAGGGCGTCATGCATGAATACCCAGTCGTTCGCGTGTTTGTCATCACTGCTGCCGAAGCATCGATGATGTGCTGGACCAAGTTTGTCACACAGACGCTGGGGTTGAGCGACGTTGACTTCATGATCGCTTCCTTCCACGTTGATCCAAAATAGCGATTCGTACGGAATGGAGGCTTTTTTGTGATCGACCAACGCAGCTTCGTACATCCTGGGATGAGCAAAAACATCAGATTTTTTTAGGAAATACCTTACACACATGAGTTATTTGCGAATTATAGGCTTCATATTACCTTTAACACGTGCACTTACGGCGTGGATCTCTTCGTTTGTCAAATTTGAAATGTCGCCAACCGCATTGACTTCGAACTCACTCAGTTGCACTTGTAACTGCTTTCCAATTCCACGAAGTCGGGTGACATAATCACCAAGATAAATTCCTATAAAATACTATTGAGAAAATCCAGCAAAATACTCTTGAATAATTCCAACAAAATACTATTGAGTATTTCAAACAAATTACTAATTGAGTGTCAGAATTAACAATAATGTATTTAGAAGTTACCATATTCGATTGTTCGATACCCAGTGACCCACGGAGCGTTGTTTCCGGGTAAATCCTTCACTCGGCGAACTTCTAGGGCAATCAGGGCATCGTCCGGACCCACTTCCCTGTGTACACAAAGGGCGCATATCGACGACCTTCGCGTGTTGCATGGTTGTCCACAACACCCAAACGAGAAGCGCGTCTGATGGGTGTACTTCGCGTTCAAATACGACTTCTGGGGGGCTAGCGCCCCGTCTTCGTCCTATTGCCCCAATTCGTTTCGAGGAAAACGAACTTGTTGCTTTCGGCCATTCGCACGAAACTCGCCAATTATCACGACCTTGTGTGTTTCATCCCACATAACGATTTGATCGATCTCCAATGGCGTCATGGCATCCATATCGAGATACGACGGCCGTTCACCGTCAAAGTGTTAATCCAACTCCCAAATACCCAATCGTGTAGCAAATTCTTGGGCTAAACGATGGCGCGCCTTGGCCCACTCAGAGTCCTTGTCTGCACTGCCTTGTTTCTGCCGGTACAGAGGGGTGACAACTGGTTTCAAACGGAGATAACTGCTGTACACAGCATTACGGCCGACATGCACACGGTTATGGACAGCTCGGTATTCGTTGACCATGTGCGTGGTCTTGGTCAACCCCATGCCAAGTTCCACGCAGTCGGCAACGATTTGGATCTCGCATGTGTGCAATGCGATCATCTTGATCAATCCAACGTTCTGGGCACCACTACCGTCATACTTCACGCCTGCTCGCAACAGTCTCGCACGTCTTCAAGCAAATTAAGGACAGAGTCTCTTGACCCCCTCGGCACCTTGAACTGCTGCATGATGGTGTACACAGTGCCAAGTCTTTCGGTCCACTCGGACGATGGTGGCGCGCCAAGTGCATCGATCAAGTAGATGCCCCATGCAACACGGCGCACTTTGTCGGAGACAACCATTGGTGGTGGACCCGTAGGGAGACTCTTGTTGCGAACAGCTTTGGTCGTAGACCTTCGCTTTGTTGGATTTGCCAGGCTGCTGCCACGGCTCTTGCGAGGACTGATGGGTTACTAATTACTTACTAGTAGTACAGTTGTCCTCCAAGGTTTGCTCCCTGGTCAAAACGAAATTCCTGTATAAAACAATAACATATAAAATTTACAAGGGTTGATTTGAAATTGACACGAGGTTTAAATTTTTGAGGATGAGGCTGCATTCACCTCACTTTGACAGGCTTAATTTATGAGGACATTTGAGAATATGCCGCAGCGCAAACAAGAAGGAAAGCGACTCTCGATTCACGAGAAGAACTTGATTCGGGCGTATTATGCGTATCACGTGCCCATTAAGACAACCGCCGTGCAGCAGTGGGTCACTACAAGCGATGTCAAACGGATCACGTTATTGGTCTGATCGATGGGGATGAGAGCAAGGAGTCCTTTCTCTCGTCAACATGGTCCTTGCCAACGACCATGTTGTCGAGAGCCGCAAGAACTTGTACGCTGTTGACGTACTGACTGCCATGAAGCGGTCATTGGACGGACGCCTGGGAAAACGTCACGACAACGACGATTCGGAACTGTTGGAATCTTACTGGTATTGTATCCCGAGAGACGTTGATGGGGAACCTCCAGTCACTTCACATTAGCTCCGGTCATTCGCTGGAGCGATGGCTTAATTGAGTTTGATGTGTAAATGAATGGTTATCCACCAAAATAACCTTCAATTTCAATATTTTGTGTCACCTTTATGTCATCAACTTCCTGCAATAGTTTATGTCATTGCATGGGAGCAAACCTCGGAGGACAACTGTAGTAACAAAGTACCATAATTTAATTGTCAAATTTCACACAATAATTTATTTTATTGTAAGTTGCAAGTATAATATAGGTGTCATAAAAATACTCGCTAATAGAATTCCTTCCTTTTCGTGCCGAAATTTCGTTTCAGACGATCTCGTCGAGCAGCATATATTGTCGCTTTCTTCGTCATCCACCCCAGACAGGTTCCTAGACTCGGCGTCCAAGCGACGGTGCTCCTCCACAAGGATTAAAAAGCGGTTTTGTGTCTTGCGCACATCGAGGGAGCGGGTAAAGCTGTCGCAACTCATCAAAGTTCCGGCCAAGGTGCTTCCATGGAGCAAGGTTGACGACCAAATCGCCAGCGAAGATGCGACGACCAAGGTTTCTGTCAACCAGGTGAAGTATGAACTAATCTGATCGTGTAGCATTTCGATTATAGGCCTCAGCTTCATGGAGTTCGTTCTAATATGACCATTTCCCTCACCCTCCTATATTCCATGAGAATACCGCTACGTATTTTTAATATAAAATAACTATGCCATAATTTAAAAAGATAACAGCGAAATATAACATCAAGTCGACAGAAGTTAACATCAATGCTTGTCAATGACAATGTCAACTGTCCAGAATGCCGTTGAATTGCTCAGCAACGGTACGTCTGAGCGTGATACATTTGATATGAAAACTGAAGGCATGATTGCGGGCTACACAACAAGATGTAGTGTGCGGCGATTGCACTTCATTGGCATGCGTGAAGAGACCTCAAACATGACAAAAAACTGAAATATAGCTTACTTTGGGTGTGATTATATTCTGCAATAAGCATCGTAACACCACCCATGCCGCTTTATTACGTAGTTTCAATGCTGTGTACATGCTACCATGTTCTTGCGTTGATCGGTGATCACTGAGCCACGAAGCAGCACATTAAAGACGCATTTTGGTGAAAACTTCAAATATAGCGTGAAAGATGACAATTATTGTCTCTTGACTGTGAGCTATAATTTATAGCATACATTGTTATGTTACTAATTTTCTTATATTTAAATGTCATATTTTTAAAAGGTTTGCAACCGTTTTCTGTGCAGTCCGTCAATCCTTCAAAATGGCAATTAAGTGTAGTGCACGACTACATTCATCGTCGGGCTGAACTCGATTTGATCCTACCGTGCTGTATGGTGATGATGAACTATGCACTACCATTTCGTTTGAGGATCGTAAAGTTGATCATTTCCCGCAGCCTCCTGTAAAGCACTTAAGGTAATCCATCAATATCGCGAACTCTTTTTGTGCACTAAAATGTCAAATGTTTGAAGCACTCCACCTCAAAAAGTCCGTCGAATAAAAAAAAACTAAGAGTAGTGCTGGAAAATATAAATCCAACTATTGTGAATTCCGGTGAAACTAGCAGTTTTGGGGTGGTTTGACCCCACGATGTAAAGTGCCAACAAATCGACCGAGCCTTTTGATTCGTCAGAAAAAAAATACACTTATCCAATCACAAACTATCTTCGACATTTGATTCCCGGAAAAGACAGCAGACCATGGCAGAGGCAGCAAGGAGGCAGCATGCACACGCCAACACCGTTTACCACTGCCTCTTCGCCTACTACAGCCTCGGCTTCTCGCGCAGACACCTTGCACTCGTTTTCAACAAGTCCGAACATACCATTGGCAACTGGGTCAAGGTCTACGAAAAACTGGCGGGGTACGAACGAGCGACCACCGCAGCCGACAAGAAGTTCACCACCCCACAGCGACAGTGGCTCGTCGAGTTCTACGACCGCCACCCAGTGGCATATCTCGATGAAGCTCAAAGTTCCTTCAAGCGTGTACACCGCATCACGTGTTCGCTGAGGGGTTGCCACCATGGATGTATCATCGTTCGTGGCGAGCCCAGGGTACTTCTGTCGGCAAAATTTGAATTGCACCTTCTCTCAAACACGTCATAGAACCTCTCTATATTTATATATTATCATATTACAGAGGTTCTGAAATCACCCTCCAGATTGATTGAACCAATCGAGCATGGAAAATTCGACTAGAACTCACAATACTACGTAGTACATTTTTTAGAGCAAGTGCGAGCAAGAAATACTACCATAATAGCTTTTTGTACGTGATGATATAAACGATAGTCGAAGATGTGATGAAAATTTTGTGACATTGAAATTCGCGGACGGCTGTAATATCTTAGTTTTGTATACTTGGAATATTAATTTACAAAATATTATACCGCGAAATCGTGCAGTTATATTAATTAAGATTCCTACATGCATTTCATTATATTTCACTTCACTGTCAATACAAAAAAAGATGGTAATAAAATGTTCATAATACAGAATTCGTAAGGTGAAACCGTAGGTTTTAGTAGGCTCGCAAGGTGAGCTGCCTTACGAATTCCATAAATCGATCTGAAATAGTTCAAATTTTATTGAATGAAGCTTCATCTTTGTATGGAATAATTTAAATTCCTCTAAACGCATCTTTTTGATGAATTCGTAAGGCAGGCTGCCTTACCAAATTTCTGTCCAATTATATGATAGAAAGGTGAAAATAACTGGCCAATAATAGGATCGTTCTATTCTCTTTGCTACATTGCTGTAGCTTGTGAGCTACAGTACTACCGGTAGAATGCGATCCCTTGCTCCTATCCGCACGCTTGAGCCTGGGCGATGGTCATGCAGTATGACTTGGTCCTCGTCTTGTCGCAGCATAGGTAGTGGTTGTTCTTGGCGTAGTGGGCGCTCTGGTGGAAGTGCTGGGCTCGGGTGCCGTCGCACATGCCCCCGACCTTGGTCGACTTATTAGTTTTGCATCTTGGCATAAACCAAGTAATCACATGGGCCAAGCTCGTCAACTACTGGTACTGTAAATAGGTCGTTTACAGCAATTTACTCGTTGATCCTGAAACCCCGAAACGTCGCGGGCAAACGACTTGATTTGGTCAAATTTTTGGTGACTATGCCCCGATGATATGATTCTTACTGACGGTAGTTTTACCCATCACTTCCTCATTTTGACTTGGAAGGACCTTGGGTGTTGGCCCCAGTCCACCGAAACCATGAAGTAGTAGTGATGCTGCTGGACCTTCCTAACGAGAAATTCGCATCGACCATGCGTGACTTCAATAAGCACTAAGGAAACATGCGAGTGAGTGTACTCGAGAGTGCGATTAACTGCTGACATGGGCATTAAGCTGATGGTGGCATGAGTTGTTTGAGTCGCTGGGAACGGTACTTCTGCATTTTTGAAGTCGATAAAAATGATCGTCTTGACCAATAATATGGCAAAGAAACCATGATGCACTCTGATTGGTTAATAATTAGAAGTAAGGCCTGCCACCTTACGAATTCCACAAACAAGTCAACA